AAATAAATAAATAAATAAATAAATAGGACTGCATACTTAGAACTTCAGGTATCAAGAGAGAAATTTTTCAAACACTATTTCTAAGACATAATAGACATAAAATGATAATTAAATAACCCAAATTATTTACAAAGGATAGCTATAAAAAAGGGAAAATTACTTCCACATACCTTCTTCATAGATTAATCCAACAACGTTCACAGCCTCCCTGCTTACTACAAAGATAGGATTCTCCTCAGTAGTTCTGGGGAAGTGCTGTGCCAATCTGCCAGGCTCTAGTATTAAACGCCGACCTTCATATATCAGTTCTTGATTCTGAGATGGTATTTTTGTCTGTTTGTAGACCAACTCATGAAATATAGCAGCTCTATAATAAAACCAATACATTCAGTAGTAGTTAGACTCACTACAACAGTTCAACAATTCAGATTTTGTATTACTTAAATAAAAATCCCTTTTGCTTCTGATTAATTAAGAACTGGTTTTATACATACAGAATTTGACTTACAAGCAGAACAAAAAGCAGCACACTGCCTAAGGCTCCAGGTTGCTCTGCTACAAAAATAAATGTTATTTCCTGCAAAATATCAAACTTCCCTTTCTACCTCTGATTTTCCACCAAAGCTTGTCTGTATAAACAAACTTGCTTTGGCCTGAAGGTCAGTAAAAACAAGAAACACCAGATGAGAGGAAGGAAGCACGCTTCGGTTTTCTCAGGCACGTCCATTTCTTCAAAGGACGTGCCTGGTCTCTCCAAGAGAAAAGTCTGGTGTTTTACATGCCAAAAAGCATACACCTTAAATTGAGCCTGTAAGCTAACAGGCAGCGAGATTATCTCCTAAAACAGTAGTGATAAAGAAGACCAAAGACACTTTGGTATTTTATTTCCAGCAATCAATGGATACAAGGCATAAGAATTTATAACAAATAAAATTAAATCAACAAACAAACCTCAAACAAAGAAAAAAACCCCTAAGTACACTAACTGGAAGGACCAATTTGCCTCCTGTGCAACACTAGTACACTGTCACTTCTTAATACTACAGCTAGTATTCAAATAATCATAAAGGTAAATGATAACAAATAATAGCAATTTGAGCTACAAGCACGATTTCTCTGCAAAAAATAGTACTTGAGCTCTCTCAAAATACAAATGACAGAAGAGAAAAGAAAAATTGGAAAAGGCCAGAACTGTATTTATACATTTGATGAAATAACTGTATCTGTTCTCATATTAGAGAATAACACGCACTTTGTATTATCTGTAAGAAGACAAAGAAAAGGCCCTTATTTTTGTATCAAACTGTAAACTAGACTTTACAGCTTCTAACATCAGCACTTGATGACCATAAAATGAACTCTGTATAACTCAGGACCCTAAATCATACCAATTACAACTTCAGAACCCCTGTGAGAGTTTTATGTCAGACAGATGATGTGCATGTTTTGTATTCTTGAGGACAAGATAAGAAAGGCAAGAGTTGAACAGAGTCTCTGGAAAACTACTTTGTAAATAAGTAACATACAAATGTGGGATGAGTTGGTATCCATTAAGAACACAGACACATTGTACTATGTCAAGGATTAGGTCAGTGTTCTGTCACTGATTAAGACCAATTTTAAGATCAGTTGATTTGACCTTCAATGATTTGATGTTTATTAGAAACATTTTATGATCAACATGCTTCTATGTACTGTGAATACACAGAAGAATTACAAGCTTTCACTTTCTCAGATAAACCACCAAGGAAAGGCTACTGAATTTGTAACACTGGTGAACTCAGGTGACAGTGTGATGTTTGCCTGAATAAGAGCAAAGAAATTAAAATATAGAGAGAGCACACTTACGTATTATAGCTGTGAATATAAACTTTGTGCAAGGTCATCTGCTGTAGTGAAAAGATGTGAATTATTATTCGGTGCAGTATGTCACTCGTCTCTGCAAAGAACTGGTCAAATCCCCAGCATTTTTCCTGGTCTGCTTCAAGAATATTGGCAAGGACAGGCGTGAGCAGTACTTGCAGACCCCTACAGGACACCAGGAAGAGACAAGACAACTTGGATCTGCTTGGATCTTTTCACCTTGTAACCAATTGCAATACTTGATTGGATTTGACTCATGAATGCAAATCTGCTATCCCCTGAAGAATATCCAGAGCTGCTTTCTTTTTTTCTTTTTCCTCTACTGAACAACAAAATGTTCAATGGTAACGTTCACTGTTTTTCATTAATACACATACTCTATCTCTTTCCTTTTTAGGCTCAACTATCAAATATTTTTTCCTTGGTATTTGACAAATTTCATGGGCATTGAAGAAATAGCATGCAATTTTAAAAGGCTACATTGTAGAGCTAAGGTCACCTTCTACCACTGCTGGGCAGTAGCCTTCAACCCAGCTCACCCCACACACTTAGCACAGTTTATCACTTTGAAGGAAGCCACTACCATTTATGGTTTGCTGGCTGAGCTGCTTGTGTGAGCACGCTATGTTGCTTTCAATCAAAATCAGCTGGGTTAGAAAAGACTCTTTATTTCAATTGTCAACACTAACAGAATTCATCCTGATTGAGATGGGATTAAATAATATTCCACACATGCAGCTCAACCACTGCAAAGAAAAATGTGCAACTATTGCCTTACAGTCATCACTATTCTAGGAGAAAGGCCAGCTTAAATTTCTTGCATTCCTACTGTGAGAATCTGAATTGCACGGAATTTTATAGATCCCACTCCTGTGTTATCAAGAACAACTTCTTCAAAATTTTAACAATATGTACATGTCAAACCTGAATCCAGCGGTAAACCTGGTAACATTTCAAGCAGGCTCCAGTGGCTTACAAGCACACTGACAGCCCCATTAAAGGTCAGTGGATGCTGTGCTCAAACTCCCTTTAGTAATAAACTTATAACAGTAAATACTGTTTAAATGCTACTTGAAAATATTACTGTAAACAGATGTTGAATGAAAAAATCTGCTTCCTTTGTTATTTAAAGCACTTCAATTATATGCAATAGGCAGAGGAAACAACTGAGCAGTACCATGAAAAATATATATAAATTGCAAGTTCTGCACACTATAAATTAATGAATTGATATAAACTAGACTTTCACTCTACACCACTTATGGATCTACATATTTGGCTTTCAGAAAAGTTTGTTTCTATAGTCTGTTGACACAACAGTTTCTTTCTCCCTTTACCATGAAAGAGCAGTAATTTTAAAGTACTGAAGACGTCTTAAGAAGATAAATAGGTAAATGAGTTATGGGAGGTGTTTTTAAGATTATATTGAGATTGGATCTTCCATGGCTCTTCCTACTGAGTATTGCATGACTTATGAAGCAAAAATATGATGATAGAAAAAATAATAAAAGATACTATGAGAATATGATAAATGTGACAATATGAATTTTTTTCTGGTAAAAATGCAAATCTCTGAACTGTGTTTTCTTATCATTTCCTTCCTACTGCCTAATCTTGGTAATGTCTGAAGTCACATTGTTGCACGAAAAGGCAAGCTTATTAAATCTTCATACTCCCTTCCTGGGGATGGAGAAAATATAGTAATAATCTTCCTTCTACTCATACCACTTCAGATTCGCAGGTGCTCATTTGTAAATTAGCAGTCGTAAAATTATTTGGACAGATGGGAAGAAAAAACACGTGATAAACTAATAGTAGACTGTACCGATCTACTGAAGAGTTCAAAGAAAACAACTGCAACAATCAGATCTCTGTTCCAAAGACCCAATCCTAAGAGAATAAGCAAAAAAGCACAATCAAGTAGCATCGAAACACTGTGAGAAGTTCAAACTTACTTTGAAAGACTACAAGAAACAGGCATCTCCCAACTCCACTCAATTGGTCCATTTTCTGCTTTCTGTATTCCAGAAATAGCACCAGAAGGCTTTCCAGTGATTATTTTATACCTGTGATACATTATAAAAATAATAGAGACTTCAACTACTATCTCTTATACATCCATAGGTCTAGTAACTAATCCTTAAAGGGGTATCAATAATGTAAATCTAAACAACAGGTTTAAAATTTAAATTTGTAGGTGGTGCAATAATTAGGAAGCTTCACTTACAAGCTGACAGTGGTGCTAAAATAGTAACAATGAAAAAAGACACACTTCAGGCTATGTTGGAGAAGCAACTTTGCCTACCTCAGATTTGGGAAAAATTTAGGAGAGATTTCAGGCATCACTGAAGGAAGCTGAAGTTTTTTCACAAGTGTTAATTAATCAAAGTCAGATTTCCAAGGCAGTTCAATTTAGGCATTTACATGACTAACTTCTAGCATGATCCACAGCAAGAGATGACAATACGTAGCCACCACAAAGTCACTCGCGAATAACGAAGGAACAGGTGGGCTTTGAGAAATTATTTTAACTTGGAAACATCTAGCAATTTGGATACAATTTAGCATTATCTAACTTTGTACTGAACAGGCTAGTATTTCTCACATTTCTCCCGAAACAAATCAGAAGCGATAGACTTTTTGCAACAGAAAATTTCAGTTGTGCTTTTCTTTTTGTAGGGTGAGGTACATCCAAAATACATGTTCCTTGTTTATCTTGCAAGCAGATACACCAACAAGAATGCCTATGGGATAATCACACGATGGACTAAGAAAACTGGAGTCAGTTTGCAAAGAATACCAGAACAGAGATGTTATTGGCCTATTAGAGTTCCCAAGTATGCCCTTGCTTTATTTTTTAAATGCAACACACAGAACAACAACAAAATAGAACTACACTAATACGACACAGGAATCAATTCCAACCAGCACGTCACAGACACAACTTCCGTTTCGAATTCAGGAGCTGCCCCTGTTATCTTCAGCCACAGTCCACAACTAAAACTCAAAAAACGTCAGTCTTATGGGTAGTGCATGCATTTCAAGGCTGCCTGGGAAGACAATCACTTAAAGGACAACCAAAATTCGCAGCACTGAAATCCCACTTCAGAATAACACAACTTTGCCTGAATATCCCATTTATATACACCACACTGCAACTAACCAGCCTAGTGCCAAGGTGAAGGAAAGATGTGTGGAAAAACATCAGTATTTTGGGGGAGCTGTGATGCTTAATTCAGGTCTTAAGGTACCACACAGTAAAATCCTTGAAGCAGAATGTTTATACTGGTTTTGGCTGGGATAGAGTTAATTTTTTTCACAGCAGCTCCTATGGGGCTGTGTTTTGGATTTGTGACCAAAACAGGTGTTGATAACGCAGGGATGTTTTAGCCATTGCTGAGCAGTGCTTACACAGCATCAAGGCCTCTTCTACTTATCATACTGCCCCACCACTGAGTAGGCTGGGGGCAGGCAAGAAGTTGGGAGGGAACACAGCCAGGACAGCTGTCCCCAAGGGACATTTCATACCATATGACATCATGCTCAGCAACAAAAGCTAAGGGGGGGAAAACTGGCAGGGTGGCAGTTGCCCATGGACTGACTAGGCTGGTGCTAAGCAATTGGGGGCTTTTTCCATCACTTGTTTTTCTTGGTTTTGTTTTTCTTTGGGTTTAGGGGTGGGGGGTTTTTGTTCAGTGGTTGGGTTTTTTTTACTTATCAAACTGTTTTTATCTCAACCGACAAGTTTTCACACTTTTACCCTTCCAATTCTCCTCCCCATCTCACTGCGGGGGAGTGAGCGAACAGCTGTGTGGTGCTTTGCTGCCTACTGGGGTTAAACCACAACAAAGTTAAAGAATGTTTTTCCTTAAATATTTTCACTATTTTAATGTTTACTATATGTGTGTAGGATTTCTTGGTAAAAAGCATTTCATGGACTGACGAACATTCACTTACAACATAAAGATGACATTTACAAACAGATAAAATTCTCCGTCTAAATTACCTACATCACTTCCTTGTTTCTACGAGGTCCTTCAAAAGGTCGGAAAGGCAAACTCCCTGTTGCAGCATGGTAAAAGGTCACCCCTATGCTCCACAGATCAACTGTTGCTCTGTATTTTTTCTGATGCTCTTTCCTCAAAACTGCTCGCTCATACATATCAGGATGCTAAAGAGAAAAAAAGAAGTTAGAATTGCTTTATGAACAATATAAAGAACAAAAACCCAATCTAGCATTTCACAGCAAGATAATTTGTCATTGTAAATTTTCAGCTCTTTAACCAAAAAGCAAAGTTAGCTTGTGTCATAGAATTTGCTTGTTATTCTGACAGACTATCACAAAAGTATTCCTAGGTATGATAGCCACTTTTAATAAAGGTTTGCAAAAAATATTTTAAAATTTAGCTAAAGACTGACTACTAGAATAGAACGCCACTAAAGAAGAGAAGAAAGCCAATATTCCTCCAGATGATTTTGAAACAACAGAAACCAAACTGGAAAAAGCTCCATACCAGAGGAGAATATCAGTTACAACACTACATATGGAAAAACATGACAGGAAGAAAACTATGCTCGTATTGATGCTTCTCTGCCTGCCTCTCTCTGGTTAACTAAGATGTTAAGAGAATCTTAACTACACCTAACATCATCCAAGTAGCTCAAATACAAACTGAAAAATATCTACAGAGAAAAAGGCAAAGACATTCGTAACTAAAATACTGTTGTTCTTCCTTTCACACAAGGTGACAGTGGAAGTTGGACCTGGAAATTATTTAGAGGCTACTGTGCTCAGATCAGCAGAAGAACTGGCATGACCAAAGGTGAAAAACATGGAAAGTTATAAAAATAATTATAATACAAAGGTTTAAATACTAACTCCCAACAGTCTGACCTTCACCTATTCAACTCTTATCACAAATGGCCCCAGGCTTCAAACATTTCTTCAATAGAAGGTGAAATCATATAGGCTTACTAAATACTCTTCTGTGCCATACAGAGAAACAAATTGTTCATCATCTTCAAGTTCTCTTGCAGCACCAAAGTCTGTAAGTTTATAAACAGACTGACCATCTTCACCTATAACACGCATTATATTGCCTGGTTTGATGTCACGGTGCACTATTCCATTCTCTCGGAGATGATTCATTCCAGCCACTTCAATTAAAAAAAAAAACAAAAAAAAAACCAAAATAGAATTTGTGTATGTATCTTGACACAGACTGCGCAAGCACTGAATTGTAACTGAGGCTAGGAAGGGATATACGTTTACTTTCTCATTGGGAAATGGGAATGAGAAGGGACACTCAATTAACAAAAAGACCATGACCAGAGAACATTCTAAGCATTTTTGCCTTTTTTTCCTTTCAAACAGCTAAACTACAGTATTTCTTGCTCAGCAACATCTTTCCCATAAAGTAATGGAGGAAAATTTTATAACAGGCAGGCACAAGTAAACCTCGCTATTTTTCTAATTTACTTTTCTGAGATTAATTATCACTAGAAATCTTGAAACAAACAAAAAAGAATGATAGAAATGCTTTAAACAGAAATGGCTACTTAATGCAGCTATCTATACCAATATAGACATAAATAAAAGATGTGACTCCATATGACCATATTAATTTGTTCAATTAGTTGACAGTCATTCAAATTCTTTGTCTCTTGCTGTTTCAAGATAAAACAAGTATGAGTTCATTTCAATCAACAAATTAGACTAAAAAGCAGAATCTACATACCCACATCTCTCAAAACAATTAAGAACTCAGACTCTGGCAAACCAAAGGCATTAGACGGCTCCTCTAAGACTGTATATAAACTTCCACATGGACAAAATTCCATAACTAGTACTTTGTGTCTAATCGTTGTCTGGGGAAAAAAAGAAAAAAAAAAGTTTGTGACTATTGTGAAAACAATGTCAGAAATTACATATAAACCACAGCCTAAACACTGAAAGCAAGCATATTCTTTCAACAACAATGGAAGAAAAACAAAAAACAGTGGTGGTTGGGTCAGATTCTTTAAAAATGTAACTTTATCCTCTATAGTTAAGGATAACGCAAAAAGGTAGTTACTGTAGTTACTACCATGCATCTTCGATCACAACTACAACAATTCATTACCTCTTCTTCGATGGCAAACAATTTGACAATGTTCTTATGATTTAGTTTCTTCAATACTTCAAACTCTCGCATCTGAACATCCACAGGACGAAGGAAACTTATACTGTTAAATACTTTGACAGCATATAAATCCCCAGTTTTCTGTTCAAAAGAAACAAATTACTAACCAAACAGAAGCATAAGATCATAAATGTACACATACTCATTATCCAAGTATCCTGAGATCTTCTGTTGTGCACACAAGTATACTCAGATTAGAAATAGTTCAAAATAATATTCTGTGTTAATGTGGAAATTAAGATTCTACTAAAAAAAATTATGTATATATTGGTTTAGTTTAATATAGACTATTAAATATGTTAAATATAAACAGACTGGTAGAACGGAAATTCAACATTAGCCCACAAAATCCAAGTGCTTTTAAAAAAAGAATAGTTAGCATAAGAAAGGCTACACATTTAAGAATGACCCATAAACTCAGTTGAAAAATATTTTTCCAGCAAGAGGTAAGCCACTTGCACCGATCAGTAGGAGACACGCACATACTGCAGTTGAGAATCCTGGCTTGCTTAAGTTAAGAGACAACTTTCGGAAGCCAAACATTGCTCGCTCTCTCTCTTTACTGTTCTGTTTATACTGATAAAGAAGTATTTTGTTTTTTCAAAGAAGGCAGTGTCGAGCACTATACCACTCATGCAAAATCCTGAAGCAATTCAAACCCACATTATAAGTGACAGGAGCACAGTCAAGAGCTTAATCGGAGACTTAAGTTCTCAAGTGGGACTAAGCCCCAACATGCTTAGCACCCACAGCACCAGCTGAGAGTGCAACTCCTGTCCCTCTTTGGGCAAAGCACCTCCCTGCACCCACTCTAGGAATAAGCTTGTATCAGCAGTCTTGTGTGCGACAGATTCTTTCTAAGGACAAAGCCTTCTGGTGCTTAGACTAGGTGTGCTGTACAGCACACTGACATGCACTACTGGTGCCCAGGTAAAAGTTTTCTCCCATTGACAACGAGCTGCAGGCGATGTGCTCAGACTAGCGAGGGTGATGAGAGATTCAACCATGAAACCATATGCTTTCCAGGGGAATTGCTCTGTGTTGAAATTCACTCACCCAGAAAAGCACATTAACTGCTAAATTATTGGTTAGCATTGCTTCACAGTTAAATGTGGAACACAGAAAACACCATAGCTTATATACAACTTCATATTGATTTCACATATACTGTAAGGGAATGTTACTTTCACAACAAGGCTTATCTTCATTTTGTAAGACATGCTGTGAAATTCATAGGAATGGAATGACCTACACAAATAAGGTCATTTTAGCCCCTCACTCAGGTTACAACATACACATCAGCATATCATTTACATGGCAAAACTGCTCAAAGATGTACTATTTTGTACTGACTACTCATGGCGTGTCAACAAGAAGATGGTGTCCTGGACATGTATGAAGCATTGACTTACAAAGATTAACAGCAACTTCATCCAATGTGATAATATGTTAAGAATATTTCACTTACAGTACAAAATCATTAAAATCACAAAAAATGGGTTTTAAAAGAACAGGGAAAAACTATGAAAAGAGAATTTAACAAAGACAAAAATAACATACCATGTCATAAAAACTGATAAAGACTTTTATTGTTATTTAAATTCTTAAGCAAGTATTTTTTCCATAAAACTGAAGAATGGAGGAATGAAGAATTAATAACAGTTAATATTTTACAAGGACAAATAGTATAATATTAAAAATAAATCCTCAGAAATAACTGTATAGAACTCTAATTCAATGGATGAATATTATACATTAAAACCTAAATATGAATAGTTACAAAGATATATTTGTTTTAGGCCTAAATCTTGAAAGGTTTTTTATTTATTTCATGACACTACTCACATATGAAAAAAACTCAATTTTACGTGTTACTCAGATTAGTAATTCCTCACAAACCTTATGTCGTCCCCGGAAAACATTTGCAGTAGCTCCCTGTCCTAGAATATCAGACAACAGCCAGAGGTAATTCGAAGTGCTCTGCATCTTTGCTCTTTGAGTAGACAGTTTTCTTTTTTACCTTAAAAACAAAAGGTTAAGTATATTGAATTATAATTTAGTAAAATACACGAAAGGGACTTATTTGAATTAGAAGGAAAAAAAACCCCAAACCTCCAAAGACATACAGAAATAATTAAGAACAACCAAGTAGAGGAGTAAGAAGTGAAACAAAGAAACAAAAAAAGCTCAACAATCAAAACTAATGCCACAGACACAACACCTCTCTGCGTTTGAGTTCTTTACTTGCCAAACTTTGTTTGAAAAGCCAACTTGAAAAATGAAAGCTTTATAATCCCTTTGCTGTTTTACACAGGTCTTTAAATGATACAGTAACAAAAACTACAGGAAATAGTTATACACAGGTGCACAAGGTCTTTTGAAAATAAGCAAGACCTGTAATCGAATTCCATTATTTGGTATATATGCCAAAGAACCAACATTAGAGATGATGGCAGATACATATACAGATCTTATAGATCCCTTTGGTTCTGGAATTTGCACTTTGGTACAACTGTAAAGGACTGGACTAACTACTCACAAAAAGCTATTTTTACATGAACTAGATAAAAGTCACAAGTAACACAAATATTTTCAGCTACTTGCTAGAACCACCAATTACTACTGGAAGAAATTAAGGGACATATCTCTCATTTTGAAAAGTTCACGTTTGGTACGTCACATCATTTCTAGAGAGACAGCCTGGTTTCCACACCCGTCCTGAAATGTAAACTGTCAGATACTCAGGTCTTCACAGATTCAAAAGTAAGAGGAAAAAAGTTTGATTAAATTGATTACAAAAACCCCATTAGAACAGTCAGATTTCCCCCCTTGCCAAAACAGCAGCAGCAGCTGCAGGTGAATAGCTTTACATTTTTGGTTTAATTAAAGCACTGATTTTGCCATTAAATCTAGCAAAAGGCTCTAAGATCAAAGATGTAGCTTCCTGTTTCTAAAGAATCTTAACACCAAAATGGCAACCTGACCAAGAGAAGGCAAAAGCCTTTCCTCACAGCCTGACAGGAGACCTTGCATCAGCCTGTGTTAATTGACAAGAAATGGCTAACATACTCAAAAGAAACAAAGAAAAGCCTTTCCTGTAACTGCTGGAATAGGTACGACGGAAGTTCCTGTGTGTATTTATTACAAGAAAGCGGTTGGCACTTTTTGAGAGCTCCCTGGTGCAAAAGATGACACCACCAGAATCCTCACAGCATGCACTGCAGGAGAGTGGAGGAAGCCGCATGCCAGCCGCCGCAGCACTGTTCGCCTGTCCAGCTCCAGCAGCCAGCTGAAGCACTCGCTTCTGCACCGTTCCAGGTCGTACTCATGCCGTGCCGCGAAGACACTGAAACTTTCTCATGCCTTTGAAGACATTTCTTTATGCGTAGCAACTGCAGATTTCATACTTTCATTTTGCTATTCGCTCGTGTAAGATGTGGAGTTTCTTGCAAAGCTGTCCCAAAATATCCAGGCAATGGCACATAGCATGCAGAATGCAACAACAAAATGCAAAGAGTCATGCAGCAACACCATTTTAAAAATCTAGTTAAAGTTCTTAATGCCTAGGGAAGGGAAGAAAGGCTTTATCTCAAATCTGAACCAAAAACAATCAACACCACACCTTAAACCCTTACAATTCTCAGCTTCCTCTGTCAATCTGCAATAGTAGAATAAGATAACTTTCTCCCAGGCAATTACTGTAGATGCCAAAGAGATGATGCAGACATAGAAGGTAAGGAAGAATTCCGCAAGGAAATAAGGCATAGCCCACTCCGTAAGCCATTTGTAAAATCTCCAAATTAAAAAAAATCCTCATTATTAAACCCCTGCTTGTAACAAGCCAGCTGGCACATTACCAGTAAACATTTATTTTGTCATTTATTTCAAAGCAACATTCATTAGACTCATACCAAGACACAGAAACATAATGAATCCTTTCTAAGCAGACAGAAAGTGTGCAGAAGGATCAAGTAAACAAGAGTTTCTTCACCAATGTCTATTCAAATACTAAAAAATTTAGCAGCCTATTAGAGACTGAATTATTATGTTGCCCTAAGTGATAAAGATGAGGTAGCTTATGTATGAGATCAGCTCTCTTCCTTTACCTTCTTACTTTCTAATTAAATTTGCATGAAGGTCAATCAGTGAAAACAAAACAAAAGGACAACTCTGCGACAGATGAGCTTGAGTATCATTCAAGGGATTTTAAAAAAACACAGCAAGTCACTAATGGGTTCTGAAGGTCTGGGTTTTTTCACTTGTAAAACTACAGGTATAATTTTGCCAGTAGTAATCCCAGGGTACATATCCAGCACCAAACCAAAATCAGCATTGCACTATTACACTTTTTTGGTCAAAATAGTATTTTTCTAATAATAACAAAGTCTACACTCTTTTGTCAGAGTTTTCACTTTTAAGGCATAAAGTCTCATTCAGCTTTAATCTTCAAATTATAAAAATTTGATTCATTAACTTAGATTACGTTAGATCTCCTTTGACTTAATACCTTTCCTTTTAATCTGACTGATTCAGAACTGATCTTTGCTAAACAATCAGCATGTCGAGTTTTCTTTCATATCTTCCATTATCTTCCTAAATCAATTCACTAAGAGTTTCATATTAAAAAATAAATAAATCTCTAAATGTACAATTAGTCCTGTCACTAGATTTAATGCTGAACTTTGTATCTCTTCACATCTCACTTATGGTCATTAAGTCTGATACTAGGTAAAAGTCAGACGTTCCACACATATATCTACAAGTCTCTCTCCTACCAGCAGTTTATTGTCTCCCATGACACATTAGCATTTCAAGGGTTTGGGGGCTGCTTTTTGGTTGGGGTTTTTTTTAGTATTTTTCTGTTTCTTGTGATGGTACTACTACTTTATTTGTCAGCAGGAGGAATTATAGTAGAAGACTTCACTGCTAATGTGATTTTTTTTTTTTTTTTACACTCCCAGTGCTTTGAAGCAGGAGTACTGACTGCTTCTAATTAATACAAAGAAGTTTGCTGCTACCTCAGGCACACAGGGTAAGCACACAAAGCAGGTACTTCCCCTGTTAACAGCTGCAATGTACAAGTTCACCAGGCAAGTAGGGGCAGATGATGAAGTTAAAGTGAAGATTCTGTCTACAGGCAAGATCCTATATGCCACCAAAGCCGAGGGGCAAGGTGCTGAGGTTACAAATAAATGTTATGTCAGCATTATACAGTCTGATAAATACGAAGGTTTTATATTTCCCTGTATAAAACCTTCCCTCTCTTGATGCCTAGAAAACAAGATTCTCCCCTGAAGTTCCTGCCCCCTAGCCCTGCTTTCTTCACCTAACCTCCTTCCAGGAGTTTCCAGTCCAACAGCCAGTATCTGAATGAACGAAATACCCTGCTCTGGGCCGCACAAACTGCTGCTTGAACCCATACGAAGCAGCACATGCTCCCAAAGGCCCACAAAACAAACGGTGAGCCTGGCTCCAGTGCTGCTCATCACCGCTACTCTTGGCGTTTCCAGTCCGTAATGGGGGAAGGGGACTGGGCCTCTGTCAGGGACAGCAGCCCCAGGAAAGCTATGGAGAGGCACAGGCTCACCCGAGTGACCCTGCCAACCCCAAACTCAGAAGTGTGGGGTATGGAGAGCACAGGACTGAAGCTCAATCTCCGCAACAGGACATCCCTCCTGAGGTGAAAGTTTAACAACTTCTACAACCACGAAGGTGATGCTTCTACCTGAGGAAACCTTTATACAAACCACTGCCACACATACTCTTCGCTTGGCTTTCCCTCCCGCCTCCCTTCCAATTACAAAAGTAATTTTGAGGGGTCGCATCAACTGCGACCTACCGGCATCCACGGGGATAAAAGTCATCGAGATCGGGGCAAGGGACAGG